AATCTGGTCCCGAAACAAATTATCTTCCTTGTTGCACAAAAACTCGATCTAAAATGAAATGACACGCCACCACAAATCTGCACTACTTTTTCTTCAAAACGACGTTTATCCCAATGCACTGCATGGATAAATTTTTTGAAATGAATACAAAAATAAAGTGAGGTAATGCAGCTTTAACCAACATCATTCTGCATTAATAGCAGCAGCAAAAATGGAAACTGAAAATACAACTTTGCAATGAACTATCTCTTTCTGACTGTTGCACTGAGCCAAAGCAATTTCCAAGTCTATGACCTCCTGTTACTTACGTGGCAATAAAAATGATTCTGATTCTGAACTAATGAACGAAGATTAGGTACCCCAGCTTTAATATTATCCATTTAGTGCATTGCTAGTAATGCACTAATGTATCCATTTATCTGACATTTAGAGCCATCTATTAGCTTACATGTCTTATCCATGCACGTTTGATTTGAGTTTTTAACACAAATCCTATCGTAGAATTCTAAATGTCAAAGCAAATGCCAATGATGCATCCCACTACAAATTATGATCCTTGACTCAAAAGTACACATTATCGTGATGCGTGTCAGCACATACACATTTGAGTTTAAGGTTTTACAGGGTTTAATGAAAGATACTCAATGGAACTATGCAAATGTCAAGGGAAATCCCAGCTGAGAAACCCCCTTTACTCCATTTGTTTGTAATTGCCCTGCGTAGAAATCCTTACATTTACACGTCCCGTCTTATCTACTGACGTGTGTGTGTGTGGCTTCTGGTGAGTGACTTATACCGAGAAAGGCGTTTGTCACAGGAAGACGTTGCCTTGCGGACTGGCTGTGGCTGTGGGTGGGCTGTCTTTCAAACAACATCGCTAACTGCTCTCGTCTCCACCCAGCTTAAAGCCCTGAGTCTAGACTGGCCCCTGTGAAGGTAGGCAGCAGACATAACAAAAGGATTGAGAGAGAGAGAGAGGGAAAGCATACAGCCATGGCAATTCAAACGTCACAATACAACCTCTGCCTCTACATGAGCCCAAACATTGCAGTGTACAATCATAGAGACTGAGATTTGTAAGGAAGCCGGCGTTGCCCCTTGTGCCACAGCGGAGAGGCGGCTCACCAGATTGGCACTGGGCGAAAGGACCTGCAACCGTTACTAAGCAGTGTGCCAAGGCGGCTGCTGGCCTACATACGAGCTATTCTCTCCACGAGCCAGGAAAATGCACACTCCCCAACACGCTGCCTCCGGCTAGACCAAAGAACTTGAAACTAAACATGTATTTAGGCCACTCGCATCACTTCTGATTGCACCTTTTTAGTGGAGCGTTGAGCTGAGATACCAAGTTTTGTTTTGCCATGAATATTACATTTTGTTTGTCCCAGCTGAAAGAGTAAAAGGTTGTGAACAAATCAGAAAACACCATGCTGTATTTATCTGGTTAGAAATGATTTTAGTCCTTAACATTAGTAAGTAAGCCTTGGGAGGCGGTATATGACAGTTAGGGCTGATGGAGGACCTGTCTTTTTTTCCTTTCTGTCTGATAAATCTGATCTAAAGATGAGACAAAGGCTGGAATCATTGTTTTTGAGCACATCAGATCACACCATGTTGTCTTCATCTCGTCAGAAAACATGTTACCTTTGAGCTCTGTGAGTCACTGTTTGATGCTTTGAGCTGATTGGCTGATTGAGGGTGGTCCACTCTTTTCCCTTCTTCTCTCAGAAAAAGAAAGAAATGATCTACATGTGACAGAGGCTAAAACCTGCATGTGAAAAGTAAGAACCCAACTGCCTTGATAGCACATAACCGGGTTCCATGTTATAATGAAAATAATAATAATATGACATGTATTGGTTTTATATAGCGCACTCAAAGAAGCTTGTTGCTTGAAAGTTATGTACCCCAGCTTTAATAACTAAAACTGGTCCTTTTGTAGCCCCAAAATCAATTTTGTCTTTTTCAAATCAATGCAGTCTGAAATGCACCAAACCAAATTGGATTGACTATATTCAGAACTTTTAACCATTTAAGAAGAAACAAAACATTTCAATATTTGTTTTGAATCCAGGCATTAGGAATTCTCTCATACGCTACCACTTAATACTACTTTATCATCAAAGGAAAATGTAAATTCCTCTTCATTGATGGTATAATGTACTGTACTTACAACATCACTTCTCTCATATCTTTAAGCGATAAGCTTAATAATTCTCCTTCCTTTTTTAATACTATTTTGATACGTTTGATTTTATATCTCAAGAGAATTAGATCGATTGAACAGATACTCTGAAAAAAGTGATGAAAAATAAGTTGAACATTGCTCTAATTTGGAAAAATGTATCTTAATTTGAGCAAGTATTGACTGCCTTAAAGCAACATTTGAAAATGAGACAAGCAAAGTTATCGTGTTTTTAAAGAGTTACCAGAAATGTCTCCCTTGGACTGAGAAAATGAAGCAACAGTTTGTGATCAAAGGGGTGAGTGTTAGTATTAGATAGCAATATGGCCTACGTGCAGGACTGTACAAGGACTCTGATTATTTTGACTATGATGTCTCTGTGTGACACGTACGTCTTTCGATGTGTGACGTGACAATGACTATATAAACCGTGTACTGACTCCATTCTGTCTGAGAGAAGGAAACCATGGAAACCAGTGGAACTTGAGAGAAACGTAAATAAACTTCCAGAGTTTGGCGCACCACGATCCGTCTCTGTCTGCTTCATCCCTGACAAGTTCTACAAATAAGACTAAATGGCTTCGTCTTACTTGAAAATTATGTTTTAACACAGCCATAATGTTCTTAATTGAAGATAAAAAACAATTTTCACCTCATGCTGTATATTTGTTTGCAGTGTGGATACATAGACAGAATGTGCAGCTGACTTCACTTCTGTCACGTCTTACTATGATCTTACTAAAACAATATTAGCGCTGTCTTTGTCCCATAGGCCTCATGTCACGTGTACTTATTGATTTTGCCATATGCTGGAGAGTGGCGTGCGCTCATGCAGCCAGTGTCTGCTGACCAACACAAACAGTGAAGCAGTGTTAACTTACACCACATGTTTGGAAACTTCCGGCAAACTAACAATATGATGTTATTGTAATGTCACTTCATCTGCTCTCGTTCGCGTCATCACTTTGGATAATGATTTAAGACACTCAAACTTTTTTGGGTGTAGAGACTTTTCCACTTGTTCCGTCTTTGTCACCCTCCGACAAATAAAATGCACAGGGAGAAGTCGAATGGAAAAGCGAGTAATCAGCAAACGGCATTACTTGCGGTGCACATGTTGCTAACGATACTTTTGTTGACGACGTGGCTAAAGCAAAATACCATGATGAATTTCCAAACATGACCTCAATCATTTTCATCGCTCTGAGGCATTTAACAATTGGGCAAACTGGGCTGCTGCAGAGAATCTCTTTAACCTCGTTTCATAATGAACACAATCACACGGGGACAATTCCTGAGATTTTTCTAATTATTAAAAGTTATTCTAGAGATAATTGATGAAACCCATCAGGACAGTGATGCATTTGCTGACAGGTTTACTGAAACTCTGAAAGGAACAGTTTTATATTTTGCCTCTGACCCCATTTAACAATTATAAATACAGTTGAGATTAAATAAAGCCCTGGCTTGACTAATCACCCAGTTGTATATTGTTTTTGAAGCAGACAGAGCATCTGGATCAGTGCTTCTCAGAGGACCTTCTACATGTTCTAGAAAATCAAATTCAATTATGCTAAACTAAACTCATAAGTATCCCTGGTCTCAAATGGTTTGAGAATACTGAGTAACAGGTGTCAGACAAATACAACTTTTAGATTGGTTTTCAATGTCAACAATGTAAACATGATCCCATAAACCTTGTGGACACTGAAGCCAAAAGTGTTTTCCTAAAACACAGACGGACACTTCACCTTCATCCTTTTATATTCGACACTACTGAGTTACTTTGAAGCAGAAGAGGTAAATGTGTGATAAGTCAGATGTATGATAATGTCATGATAATGTCATGTTACTTAGGCCACACTGACTGATCTAGAACACACCACACGTGTAAACCTCAGGTGAAGTCTTCCTCTGCACAGACGCACAGGTAACATGAATATTGTATTTGTTTAAATGCTTCTAAATCAGGCTGAGGTTTGCGAGCACCCACATGTTAACCCAAGCACTGAGTGAGCTCTCCCAGCGCCTGAGGGAGAACAGTGCAATGAATGGGAAAGCAGGCCACACTTCTATCCAGGCCATCTTTATTGATCCTCCAAAGCCCTCTGACAGAATACACCCCCATCTTGACCACAAACAGGGGACAATATAAACAACCAATAAATAATAATCTGCAAAATTAAGGCGGTTCTACTTCTCCATAGAACACAACAGTGTCAACATTGTGAATACAGCTCTGTAGTTTAGTACAGTACAAGCAGTAGACTCAGAGAACATCACATCTAAAAAGGCAGCACTTTCCCATAAGTCAACCATTTATGATGATCTCCCACTGAGATGAGATAGCAGAGTGCTGTGGTCATACTATGACCACAGCGACATATACTCTAACCCTACAGATAATGGCTGAGCATTTGTTTAACTAAAATATAATACTTCCCATCCACATGGAAGCTGTTCTTTGAATCTGTTTTCTTCCGATTAGAATAAATAAATACACCTTTTTACTGTATGCTAAATCAAGATGGAGTCCAGACCTGGGGCTACACAGTGTCATAGCATTGTTCAAGTGGCATTTTATTACATTCGAGTCCAGAAACCTGGACTGAAGCCGGCCTTGAGCCTGCACCTGTGTCCACTAACACAAGTGAGACACTGTTCCATGTCCCACATGGGCGTCCCGAGCCGCTCTTAGTGCGTCCTGCTGCTGCTTGTGCAGAAAGGTGCTGTCAAAAATAAAAGCAGGACTGAGCACTCATCCATCCAGGACAATCCATGCTCATTGCTCCGTTTGTGCCAAAAGTAGATCTTCTCAACAGCTGACAGTACTGGGCTGCTGTTTGTTGACAAAGTCTGAAATAAAGTCAAACTCGTTCTGTCCCAGGAACAGTTCTGGTAGCTCCTGCACCCGGTCTAAGCCTAACTCCATGACCAGTGAGGTCAGAACCTCCTCGTCGATCATATCTGCGTCCATACCATTGAGCGCCAGTGCTGGTCCCGCCATGTGCTGCATGTTCGCCAACTGGGCTGGGTTCATGCGGTACTGAGCAGGGCCCATGTGGGCCCCAGTCATAGGTCCGAGGGGGTGTCCGTGGTACTGCGTATTGAGTTTCTGCAGCTGCATGCTGGCCATAAGCTGCTGAGACGTGAGTCCTCCGTTCATAAACTGCTGCTGCTGCTGCGAGTGCTGTGGCGGGTGCTGCGACTGCGGCGGGTGTTGCGACTGCGGCGGGTGCTGCGACTGCGGCGGGTGCTGGCCTGGGTGCTGCTGAGGGTGCTGGCCTGGGTGCTGCTGCGGGTGCATGTGGTGCTGCTGTCCTGGATGAGGCTGCCCGTTGTACATCATGTTTCCAGAGGTCATCTGGTGGTGGCCCATCTGCGCTCCGTTCATCTGTCCGTTCATGGGTGCACCCATGGCCTGCCGCTGCCTCATGGCGCTCTCCATGTTGGCCTGCCCACCTCCGTAGTGCATCATCTGGCCATTGGGCATGGGCCGCATGCCCTGCTGGTTAGCATGCTGCTGATGACCCGCCTGCATGCCCATCCTGTAACCGTGGAGACCGCCACCTGCTGAGTTGTGATTCATGGGCATCATCAGATGGTCTGCCATGCCTCCTGTCTGAAGCAGAGACACTGATCAACACAACGTTCACTAAACATGTTGACGCACTACAATAACACACGTGAATGTGTCTGACCTCATGAGCTAGTCCAATGGGATTTTGTTTATGCCGTGTTTATTATTTATTTATTTTGGTGAATGGTGCAACTTGACTTGAGTAAACATTACACAATTGGCCATCTCCGCTAAAGAACATGGCTGTAATAAGACCAAACGCACTCCTCCACTTGCCTTCTTAAAAAGACAAACCTCCGGAAATAAAGCGTGGAAGCTCTTTGTTCCTTTGGGCAAATACTGAAAAGACATTACTGGAGTGCTTAGTCTTCATCATCCTCTTTTTTTTCTTTGTGCCAAGGAATGAACGCCCAGGTTGGAATTACAGGTTCACATCACACATTGTTTGCACACATTAAACCCACTCGATAATTCACGCACGACTGTTTAGATTTACGATCCTTTCTGAACATGCACAGTTAGATCTATTGCTGGAATCGTAAGGTTGATGCGTGTCAGTTGTGACAGAGAAATCTGTTACATTTTACGCACGTACGCTGCAACAAAGACACTGACATCACAGGATCCCAAACAGCAGTTGAAGATCCCGGGATGTGCATTCAATAAACGGAACTTGCCTCTTTATTATTACGACTAATCAACACCGACACCGTATTGGTTTGCATTGCACGACTTTATTATTTAAACAAAGGCTCGACAGCATTTAGGACTAATCTAATAACACACATACACCGTTCCAAAATGCACTTACCCAAAGCCGTTTCGTGTCTGCAAAGTTGCGCTACTTTGGTGCGGTTGTGTCCTCGTAAACAGTCCCAGTGTGAAAGCTCCTCTCTAGGCTGAGTATTCCACTGGGTTACGCTTCATTCTCCGGGAGGACGCTGTGCACAAAGACTGCCGCATCAGATCTTGAAACGACTGCCTATTTTCTGGGTCAACTCAGGGATTATGTACATCTAAAAAGCTCAGAGGAAGGCTGTTGAGGAGAGGTGGAGCCTCGGTCCTTCCTCTTCTTTGTTCCCATTGGCTCCTCGTAACATTATTGTGTATGGGCGTAGAGAAAAGCCTGCTGGGGAGTTGTGACACAGACGCATGTTATAGTTCTCTCTCCTCCCTTGTTTCTTTTTGAAAGACTGTATTGACACGTTGTTTGCTTTAGTATCTTAAGTGATTTAGATAGATAGATAGATAGATAGATAGATAGATAGATAGATAGATAGATAGATAGATAGATAGATAGATAGATAGACTGTATCATTTTGCACTTCATTACTTGACTGCATTTGTCATTTGGGCCATTGCCTGAAAGAAATAAACGAATAAAAGGATAGATAGATAACAGATAGATAGATGCATAGATAGACATTACTGATTGATTGATTGGTGTATGGACTAACTGTGTCACGTGTGTTTGAATTCTGCCTTGTAATGAGGAAAGGCCTCATCTCCAAGATCATTGCTGCTCCATGTGACCTGGGAGCTGCTGCCGGCTGAGCAGTGGTGGAGGGGGCAGTGGAATGCAGTCTGCTATTCTAGGCCACAGAGGCTGCAGCAGCAAAGGACAAGAGCTGGATGTGCTCTCCAGATGCCAACATAACTGTGTGCATGTTTCTGCTCTACACATGTTCACGCCACTGATTGCCCACTCCAGGACAACAGTGTTTACAAATGAAAAGAGTCACTTCGGAAGGCGCAGGCCAACCCATTGTCCAAGAAACTTATCTGTAAATGGCCAACCCCAGGCTTTGTTTGAGACGGCATTCTTAACAGTGCTAATAGGCCACTCCCAGGTGTGAGAAGCTCACACAGCCAGTCAGGCCAAACACATAATAAACACATTGTTTCCACCATTTATTGTCCATATGCAAACATAATTGAGGAAATCCATCAATCTTATAACATTTAAAATATTCCCAAAAGCAGCCCATAGACACACACACATAAAACACACACATTAATAATGATCTATTGATATTTCCAAAAGGGAGTTCTCCAAGTCCTCATCAAATTATCTATTCCAACAAACAGACGCTGTTTTGGCCAGTGCAGAGCAGAAAAAGTATTCTTTTTGTGTGACAGCTCCAGGCAGCAGCTTAACTGCTGTGAGCACACCTTCATGGTCTAACGTTATAAAAGCCTCATTGTGGAGTGTGCTGTCCTTTTGTTGCTGCCATAGTTCTCTGCTGAATAACAATGGCAGAAGTGACGGCTGCTGCAGAAGATGACAGTGTATCTTTATTTGGCTCTGGGTCCTGTCAGGCAGGATGTGTGAGAGACACACACACCAAAACATGAACTACTGTCTCCAGTCTTTACATCCACGCTGACCATTGTTAATTGTTAGAACTCCAACAGTTGTGAGGGAGCTTTGAGAGTGCCCCACGGAGCTGGGCAGAATGGGCAGAAGACTGATGGTCCTGTTGTCTTCAGTTCCAGCTCTTTTCTTTGTAAAACCCAAAGTGCGGATAGTGAGGAAGTATTTCCAAATGACTTGCATGCAACATTTCTCCTGAGTTTAATGCATAATTAAATCTGTGAAAAGATGGTAGCGTGCAGTAAGTGCTTTGAAGAGCTGTGAAATCTTACAATACACTGAACTCAATATTTAAGAAAGATAAGTGGTAGTGGATGCAAAGAAAGGTTAGTTAAAATACTGTTTCACAAGCTAATGGGATCATGTTGGTTTTCTGTTCAGAGACATAAGTGTCTATCTCTGGATTGACCTTTATTTAACTTAGACAATCTCACTGAGATTTCAGAATCTCTTTTTAGGGAAGTCCTGTCCCGTTGGGAAACAGCATGTTCATGTTTTTAGTAGTGTGGGAAACAGAGACCCAGAGAACATGCAAACTGAAGGCCCCACGACACCCAGGAACTGAACCAAGAGTCTTCTTGCTGTGAGGCGAGAGTTCACTAATAAGATTTAAACCTTATAGTAGTTCATTAACTTATGTGTCTGTATTATAATATAACTGTGTAATATTAGGAAGTACTTTGTGTAAATGGTTATGATAATAGTGAAGTTATTTGAAAATGTAAATGTGTGAAGTTACAACATCTTTGACAAACTGGATATAGTCAAAATGAGTCAAACTAATGCTTCACAGTAAGAATATCACAGGTATGACTCCCCTGCCGCCCTGTTGTGTGGGTGGGTTTCCTCCAGGCGCTCCGGATGGGTCAAATGCAATGCAACATCCCCTATTGGGACAAGAAAGTATTCCTCTACCTTAAAATACCTGGATATATGAAATAGGTTGCCATCTTTTTGTCAATCAAAATGAATACTGTCTAAATCTGTACTGAATGCAGCTCACACAGAGTAGAGACCATTCATATCCCGGGAGAATGTTTATTAGTCCATGGTTTATGCATCAAACTTAAATACAGACATAATTGATTGCATAAGTTGAGTGTTTGACGGTGTTGACATTCTAGGTTGACAACTCACCAACTTGACTGATGATGCCACAGCTGTGTTGTGACACTGGTGTTTCTAATGGTCGAATGTAAATTAGAATGTGTATAAACAGTGATATCAAAAGAAAACTCCAGGATGAGCAGAGAAGACGTTGCGGGTGGAGGTGACGAGGCAGAAACAGAGACACACGGTCACGGAACACCAACTTTCCTCAGTCGACTGGCTCAGTTTTCCTCAGTGAGATCCTTATATTTGACACGTGCTTCTCATATAGTTTATAGGACATTAGCAATTCATTAGCATTACTATTTACAGTTTTTCTCAGTCGCTTTGGTGCATTTCTCACATCATTCTTCACATTTGCACAACTGTTGGTGCATTTCTCAGAACAATTAGTGTAAACTGCAGAACCTCGTGGATAACCTGCAAAAGTGCGTCACTTTCTCAAAATGAAAAGTTTTTTCCTCAAAAGCAAGTCCAAACGTTAATGAAACTGTTTATGTCGACAAAATAATATGTCCTAACAACATTGAGTATGAACATCACAGTCAAATGACTTAGTCATGTTTTCATTGTGAAAGTTTACTCTCTGTGTTTTCAGTGTAAAAAAGTCAGATCTCGGTGACACTTGAGCACGACTATGAGCTCACTATACACAACCTGTGCAGCCATTTACAGTAAAAACTACAGTAAAGTTACACAAAGACTGTATTTAGAGACGTAACTGACATATATGTATGTATGTGTGTGTGTGTGTGTGTATGTATGTATGTACTGTATGTATGTGTGTATGTATGTATGTACTGTATGTATATGTATGTGTGTATCTATGTATGTATGTACTGTATGTATGTATGTATGTATGTGTATACCTATGTATGTATGTACTGTATGTACTGTATGTCTGTATGTGTATATCTATGTATGTATGTACTGTACAGTATGTATGTATGTATGTGTATACCTATGTATGTATGTACTGTATGTACTGTATGTCTGTATGTGTATATCTATGTATGTATGTACTGTACAGTATGTATATGTATGTATGTATGTGTACTGCATATGCTCTTTGTATTTTTGTTGCACAATGCTGTAGAAGTGCAGACACATACATGTATATACATTGAACAAACATACAGAAATATCATTATGGTCGAACTGTGACAAAAATAAACAATAAAGCACACCTCAGAGTGAAGCTGAAATTCACCTGAGATAAATTGTTCAATTTAGGAAATATTTACAGGAAAAAAAAGATAAAGGAATGTATGAAATTAGCTTGACAGTTATGATTTTGAGAACTAGTTCAACAATTTTGTATGTGATGACCAAAGCGATGAAATGAGAACAGTTAGTTTTATAGTGAAAGACTATTCAGAAGTCATAAGTATGTTTCATTCTGACTGACAGGACAGAAGCAAATGATAATGTTAAAAAAACGCCGAGACTTGTTTGAAAGTTATTGATACATGAACGAAAGCATTTGAAATGTGTTCAGAGAAATGAGAAACTGCCGTGATGATGTGCACCAATGACCCAATGTTGTGGAGGTTGAACTAATAGTTTTGAGAAGTTTAAGTCTGATGTGAGAAATGCACCAAAGCAACTGAGAAAAACTGTAAAGAGCATGTATACCAATGCCACATATTTACGGACTTCCCACCTCTCATCTCCAAAAACTGCAATACATCCAGAACTCTGCTGCCCGCCTCCTCACCCACACCCGGTCCAGAGAACACATCACCCCTGTCCTCCAGCAGCTCCGCCGGCTCCCCTTTCAATACCGCATCCACTACAAGCTCCTTCTCCTCACCTACAAGGCCCTCCATAACCTGGCCCCGCCCTACCTTTCTGAGCTCCTACAACAGCACCAACCCACCCAACCTCCTCACTCCCATCACCCGCACTAACCGCCGGACCTTGGGGGACAGAGCCTTTGCCATTGCCGCCCCAACCCTCTGGAACTCACTCCCACTGCCCATTAGAAACTCTGACTCACTACCGAACTTTAAATCAGTCTCAAAACCCATCTTTTCAAACAAGCTTTTCCGTAAACCCCTTTTTTATTATTGTAATTTATTCCCCATGTGAAGCATCTTTGAGTGTCCAAAAAGCGCTGTACAAGTTTGATGTATTATTATTATTATTTACATTATCTCTGCAAAAGTGAAACAAGCTATTCACAAAAGTCAATGGTGGACGTTGACTCTTGGCCAACAATGAAAAAACCTCTTTCCAAAAGTTCCTTACAGCCCAAGTTTCAATGACGGTATTTTGAGGCTACATTTTCACAACATGTTATTCCACATACTGAAGAACCACCATTAGCCATGTCGTTGTTATGATCAACCTCCTGCACCGTTATCCAGGCCACACCTCTGCACGCACAAGTGAAATCCTCCGTGGGCGTGGAGTTGACTGTACTCTGACCCAGTGTTTGTGTTTTTATTCCAAATAGCTTATATCCTATATGAGAAATGGCCACTGCCGGTGTAACCAGATAATCCTGTACTGCTTAGGTGCAGCCAATGACATATGCAGCCTATTGGGTATAGTTCTAATACTGTTCACAGCCACTATACACTGTTACATAACATACATAACTGGATTCACTAATTACATAACACAGACACGTTGGGAGATATATATTCTCACATCAATTGGACTGGCAGGTGTTAAAAGAAACATCTCTATGTCTTGGTTTTCATTTTCCACGTGATGAGAAACAAAAAGTAAGTTTGTCACTCGGTGGTCTGCGTGTGTGGGGGAGGGCTGTTATTGTTCGGCTAAATGAGAGACTCTATAAATACGTACTAGCACGGCTTCCTCCTCGGACCTCACCCACCAATCAACAGTCAGCACTGAGCCGAGCAGCTGAGAGCGGGCAGTAAGCCTGAGTCAAGGCTAACGCTGGGGGTGGGGGGGTCACATGGGGGAGGGTATGACGCTGACATACCAGGCCCTGAGTAGACCAACCAACCAACCCAGGAGGAGAGACCTGCTAACTACTGCTACAAACCTGAGGCCAGAGAGGTGGGGGGTGAAGTGAAAGTAGTGATTTGGTTGAGTGGGGGTGGACACAACATACCAACTCAAGCATGCTTTACACATGTTTGGGCTTTCAAGGTCTAGTCTGGTATTTTAATCTTGAACCATATAAACACTTCTTAGCACTATCTGACCTCTATCAACACACTTTAGTCACTGCTACTTGTTCTTGTCCATTCGCTGCACTGCACAACCATTATATAATAGTCCCAGTCAAGCCACAATAGCTTTTTATCGTGCAAATATATATATAAATATCTGGAAATATAGTATTGTATCTTGTTTTAAGTGCTTGTTGTTCCTGAACTGTGCCTGTCTCTGCTCAAATGTCCTCAACATTGCAGACAAAATGTTCTCCTTTCTTTTTTGAGCAATAAATCCAGGCAGTATGCAAGCAACAAGCTTAATATATCCGGTAACAAAAACAAAAAGCCGTATTCTTAGTGCCAGAAGTAGTATTTGGATTGAGCTCGCAGACAAATCAAGAACTGATTATCTACGTGAAGAAAATGACAAAAGATACAAAAGTCTGGGATTGTGTCTCAGTATAATTCGGTAGTTGTTTATTGTTGGTACAATAGACCAGAGTCTCACAGCTTTCACATAGTTTTATACCAAGCTCCCCTCAGCCTCTGCCATGGCACCAGTAACAGACTGTACAATGAGGACTGCTGAGCCTGTACATGTAATTCATCTGTAAATACTGTAATCATGTGCAACTTCAGAATGTCCACTGACTGTCACTTTATCGACTCATCCGGTCCATACGTATATAACTTTGCACTACATATAGAGAGATATTTCGAGAGATAGATATTGAAGCATTTTACAGAGAGCTAAAAAACATACCAGCTATTATAGTCACTTTAAATCTTGTATTATACATAATCTATCTTGCACAAAAGTGGCTATAAAACATCTACTAAAGTTTGTTTTGACCCTGGCTCAGTTTGTCCGTAGTTGCATAAAACATCTATACGTTTACTATCAGGTGCAATAACCATGTTTAATTTCAATTTACCTAT